CGCCATCTTGAATCACAAACACTGCGACTACCTACGCCTGCAATACAACGGTCAGTGATTCCTGTAGCTTGGTCCAGTTTGCCACTAAATGTTCATGCCAAAACCATCATGGGCCAAACTTCAAAGTCACTTTGTGACATTACTAGTGGGCTGTTGATTGGCCAATTTGCCACAAACTAGTAGACCATAAACACTTATCAAAAAAAACATAAAACCCAAGTTTTTGTTTTTTTTTTAACTTTTTTATGATTTGGCCTGCTTTGGCACTGAACCCCTTATTTATTCCAAACAGATGTAAGCAAGTGTAGAAAATAATTCTTCTCAGCTTTTCCAATTAGGTGTTTAACAGTTTAACATACTTCATTTGGTCTTTTGGAAAACATCACCAGCTAAATGACTCTGGCGTGGAAGAACCACTTCCCCCCAAATACTACTCTGTTTATACTGCCTTTTTCATTTTTTTTGTTTAAATTAAATCATCCACCCACATGTGTCTTTCCTTTCAGTGTACCAAATTTAGCAGATCTATTTTACTTAAAACAACTGCTGGACATGTTTGGTATAGGCACTCATTGACTGGACCAGAACAGTGAGCTTTTGGCGTTAAAACCAGCAACATTAATGCTAAAAACAGGTGTGCAGTGTTGTTGATTATTGAGTGAGCTGACTTATGACACAGGCATTTAGGCCAGAGTTTAAAAAAAAAAAAGAAATATTACTGGAGGTAAAACAAATCAGAATTATTTACCCTTATTGTCATGTTTTTGAAGAAGATACCAGAAGATGCGTGTGTTCATGGGCGGTAAAAGAAAAGACTGCATCTTAAAACCGTCTTTTTATTGCCACTGCGTCACTGCTTAGACAACAGCAGTATGAAATAGCCGATGCTTCCATCTGCATCCGAGGGCTTGTGTCTGTCAGCGTGAGTGGAAACGGTCAGTGGGCTGCAGCCAGCATCCGTGTCAGATGACAGTAAATCTTGCGACCCACAGCGTCTGCACATTAAACGACTCTTGTTTGAGCTGCGTGTGCGTGTGAATGATGTCATATCTGGAAAAACAGGCGTTCAGTGTGCATCACTGATATTTAGTGTCGCCCCGAACGACACGGCGATGGAAACATTCGCAAACAATAACAGCAGATGATGTGATGATTGAAGTGTGTCGTTGACATTTCCACGGTTCAATCAGGAAACGAACAGTCTGTTCCACGAGTAAATAATTGTTGCGTTTTGGCCACATATATTTGTATAGTGCTGTGATTAGGAGAAACGGGGTGGGTGAGAGTCCACTTCCCCTCAGGTCAGGTGACAGACATATTGTTGACATTGTGTTGTTGTTTTTAGCAACTGGGAAGTACAGTGCAACGGTGTGTAGGCCTGATGTACAGCACCAGTCGACGGTTTTGACTACTTTCTACAGTGTAGAACCAACTAAAGACTTCCATCCATCCATTATCTACACACCGCTTAATCCTCACTAGGGTTGTGGGGGGCTGGAGTCTATCCCAGCCGACTCAGGGTGAAGGCAGGTTCACCTGGACAGGTCACCAGTCTATCACAGGGCTACACTTAGAGACAGACAACCAAGCACACTCACATTCACACCTGCGGACAATTTAGAATCACCATTTAACCTCAACATGTTTTTGGACTGTGTGGGAGGAAGCCGGAGAACCTGGAGAGAACCCACGCTGCACGGGGAGAACATGGAGACTCCACGCAGAAAGATTGTGAAATGACATGTTATGCAAAAAAAAAAAAGTCTTACACAAACCAGAAGGTGTTTCATATGTTAGATTCTTTAAAGTCTACACCGTTTGTTTTCACCTGGATGCTCTGTGGCTGCTTTATCCGTCACTCTGGACTTCAACTCGTCCTGAACTATCTCAGGATGCAGGCTGCTGATTAAATACGCTGCGTCTTAGTGAAACAGCCCTAACAGAGCCTGGAGCTGTGTTTTCACCTCATCGTCCTGCAGAAACACTAACAATGACCCCGCTGAGCTCCAAACAGACCGGATGCTGAGTAAGTGTTGTCTTGAATTCCTAATGAAGTGATTCCAACTTCTGTCCAATAGGTCTGATGTGTTTTTATTGTCAAGCATTCTCTTTTTCTTATTGGTTTCGATGCTTAGTGTTGGCAGCAGGTCCACCATGACCGGCCTGAATTTGTATTGTTGATTTGTAATTTTCTTTTCCTTTCTTTCAAACCCAATTTTGCTGCACCATCAGGAGGCAGATGACTCGCTGGAAGTGACACACCGCCTCATCACTCACAGAGTTTACAATTATTCTCTTGAGTCTGTTATTCTTTTGGTTATTTTCAACATTCTCATCATGACTCTGATACAAGAAACGTTTGTTTTTCCAGCATTTAGCAGGAGGACTAAACTCTTCTTCCACCCACCAACATAGGGACATTTCACAACCCAGCAGGTTATTTCACATTAACCTGTCACATTTTCATACGATAAAACTAAAAGCAGTCTGCTCTACTGCATGCTTTCAAGTGACTTTTTAAAAAAAAAAATTTAAAACAAAGTGTCATATTAAAATCTGAAATGCATAAATACTCCCTTCAGCCTGTTCAAAATCCAAATTGAAAGGAACATGCTTGTGTTTAATCCTGTTTAAAGTAACTGAGCCTTGAATTACGGTCCTGCAGCGCTGAACGTCTTCTACAAGGCCTATAGCGCCACCTGCTGGAAATAAAGGTCCACAAACAAAATATACAAGCTGACAAAACCTCATGGTCGGTTTTTCTTGCAGTTCCAGATTCTAGTTTGTTTGTTCCTGGGTCCTATCAGAGCAAAAAGAAAGTGGGCCTTCAAAAGCCTGGAATGTTTTAACGCTTGGTTTCATTTGTAATTTTTGAATGTGTGTTATTTGCACAACTGCTATTGGCACTTCCATTTTGCACTAATGTACGTATACCTTTTTCTACTAGATGTGTAAATTCTTGTATATATTTGTCTTATTATCTTGTTTTATTTTTTATTATATTTATTGTATTTTATTCTTTTCTTTCTTTAGTTATTTTACTTTATTTAATTTAAATTTTTAATTTTCCTATTTCTATTATTCGTGCAAATTCCTAGGGCGACACCAACAGCCGAAACCAAATTCCTTGTATGTTGTGTACGTACTTGGCCATTAAAGCTGATTCTGATTCTGATTAATGCACTCTAAATCTACTCTAGGGTTATGTCCGTTTCTTTGCAGGGATGGACAGAATTATAAATACTAAACACAGTTAAAGAAGTCAGAGTTACTGATGAAGTGCCTTCACCAAAAGAAAACGTAAGCAAGTAACAAGAAGGTTTCAGAATAGTTCATTACTGGTGATATCGAAGCCCATGTTGTAACCATGTGGATGGATTTTCCTGGATATTCTAAAAGATGTCGATATACATATGCGGGTGTAAATTATGTGAATATCTGTCATTAGTCAGAATGGCTTCAACAGAAGAAGCTTTAAGAACTTGTTCTGGTGATGATGAAGTCAGTTGTGCTGAAAAACCACCAAAAGGTGAGACCAACTGTTTACATCTTTAGCATTGTTAAAAATAAATCTAATTCAACACAGAGGTAATTGTTTACGGTAGCACTCTTCATAAAATCATTTGAAGGACTATGAGATGGAAAACATTATTTTTCTTTTAGCCCAGTAACAATATTATAGAACTCGTCCAGTGTTTTCACCATCATACCTGCTCAGTGATCGTCCTAATATTGGCCAAAAATGCAATAAACATAATATATATATATATATGTTTTTTTTCTCTGACTTGCACCATACTCAGCATTTTTAAAGTTCCTATTGGTGCCAATCACAGGAAAAATAATCTGCCTCTTAGGGTGAAAAATAACAGGTTTTATGTTTGGGGGGAAAATCAGAGTACACAAAAATATTAACATTTTTTCAATCAAATTTGCACCATCATATAACTGTTTTGTATTCGTCTATCAAAGCAGGGTTGTACCATTAAAGGCCACACGTACATGTCAACAAGCCTGCAAAATGCCAGGACTGTCGCTAGACTTTTTTGTCAAGTTATGGCCCTTCTAACGTTGCTCCACAGATTGGCGCAACGAAAACAACACAAGAATCGACATGACCCCGTGACTCTTTAGGAATGTTTAACTCAAAAACCAGCGTTGCCTTTGACCCCACATTTCACACATGGTCAACTCAATCAGCATTCAACACTTCAGAAAAAAACTGTCAAATAGAAGATGGTCAGGGGTGGAGCTGAATGAGACAGAATGACCCTCCTGTGAACTGTCTCAATGATAGACAACAGAAAACTGATATTGGCAGGCAAAAAAAATACATTTAAAAAAGTGCTTTGAAAATAAAATATGAACTGAAAGTTTTCGCACAAAAATAGAAAAGCTGAGACAACACAGCTGTATTTTCTGGTGAACCATATACGGTAACTTCCGCATGATTTTTTAAAAACACGGCTGGGCAGAATCACGTGACTTCATCCAGCCAATCAGGCTACATCTCAATACGTCACTATCGCCTCTGACCAATCACGAGTGAGCCACAAGTGTCATAAGTTCCGTAAATCTGACTGGTGATTTGGAGATAAATGTTCCTTTATCTTTATACGTGTATTTTTTTTTACAATATTTATCTACATATTTGTTTTTATGTAGTATTATTATTTTGACCCTTGGCGGCTTTGACTTTAATTTGCAGCCTAAAAAAAATGTCCCTTTATATCCACCGATAACACTACCGGTTTGATATTTTAAATTTTAAATAAGAATTGGTTCTCAACTGACCGACCTGGATAAATAAAGGTTTTAAATGAATAAATAAAAATAATACACTGAGAATCCGTCCGTGTGTTTTGGTTCCGCTGACAGACAACAAGCTGCCATCGCGTCTCTGCTCTTATTCTGTCAGAGAAGCGGAAGGTGTTCGGGTCGTGGTTCGGCTTGACGCTGACTCGGGGATGAACCGTCTCCTTCCTTCGCCGTGATCACAGATGGACCTGCCAGAGAACCGGTCCGGTCAGGCAGCCGATGCGGGACAGAACGCTCCGCCGGCCGCCGTGGACGTGGACGCCGCGGTGCTGCTGCTGGGAGCCGGGGTCACAGCCGCCACACACCCGCTGCTGTACGTGAAGCTGCTGATCCAGGTAGCTGATGGAGCTAGCTCCCGGCGTGTTGTTGTTCTGCTTCCAGTCCCTGAGATGTCACTTCACGTTTGAAATGCTCTCATTCAGCTGCTGCATCCGTGGGTCGTTACCGAGACATATACGAGCTGGCTGCATTGCGTTGAACTTCCGGTGATGTTCAAGGTGTTCCACATCATCCTGAAGCCAACTTTACTAACCCCTAACCAGATGTTTCCTCCATAATGCTGACCACATTGGTTGTAATGTTGAACCTTATTAAGGCAAATTTCCATCAGAAGCTGCATTTTATGACCAGTTAATGTTACATAATTGATCACAGGCAGATGTTTTGATCTGGAGTCTCCTGATGTCTCTTTGGTGAATGCATCTCTGACCTACCAGTCTACTCTGTGTGGTTTCTAGAATGTTTTATACATGCTGCACAGTGAGGCCGCTATTAGAATGCATAGTAACTATAAGACTCATCTGTTAGATTACATCATAATCTGCAGTCTGTCTCCCCTCAATAAGCTGTCACAATATTGCACTAAAGCCAGTGGACATAGCTTGATTTTTACATGTTTTATTTTATTTCTGCTGTCGTTTGGTCCTTTTTTTAGATATATGGCACCAATACAAAGGTGAGAGAGAAAGGTCTTTTCGGTTCCTCTGTATGTCCCAGATATATAGAGGAACTGACAATAAAAATCTTCTATTCTAGTCTAACTGTCCATGTGACGACCCAAACTAGACTTCGCTGTTGACCAATGTAACGCAATCGGATGCCGTCCCCGTCTTCTGTATTAGTGTTGATTCTTTGAGCTGCAGGAACTGAGAATGTCTATTCTGGTTTAAACACTCCATCAGTTGCAAGCATCTTTAATTTTTGTTTTGATTGAAGGCATGTGGACTCGAGACACTCCAGTCTCAAGTCTTGTGCACTCTGGACCAGGTCTTCTGTAGGGACCTCGGCTCATTTGCCTGCATTCATTCGTAGTTCAACGCTGACTTTAAGTGCCCGATGTAAAGGGGTCTGAAGACTTTGTACATCCACTTATCTAGCCTAGATTGAGCTCAGTTACTTGCTTGTATCTTGAAGTATTGATTTCATACAACTGTTTTTGTTGTGTGAGACGTGAACAAATGCAAAAAATGGTCAACATCCAGGAGGGTTAATGTGGACAGGCTGTATTTAATCTTGGTCATCATGGTTTCCAGGTGGGACATGAACCTCTTCCTCCAACTGTGGGCAGGACCATGTTTGGAAGGAAGGTTTTCTACCTGCCTGGCTTCTTCTCCTATGGTGAGTGATGTGAGATCAATGAATGTCATTTTCGGAGCAGCTGACTGGAAGTGAATTTGTTTTCAGCACAGCATATTGTGAAAGTGGACGGAACGCTGGGACTCTTCCGCGGCCTCTCGCCTCGTATCTTGTCCAGTGCCATCTCCACTGTGGTCCGGAGCAAAGTGAAGCAGGTAAGGTGCAGGGCCTGACAATTACATGTCATTAGAGTTTGATACGTGTTTTGTGAATATGAAGGCTGGTGCCAAAAGGTTTTTGTTTTTTTTAAATTTTGCTGCATTGTCTGGAGGAAAGCTGTATTTTTGTTAAGTGTTAACCCCTAATGAGGCCCATTACACAATGTAACTGTAAAGAAATAGACTGAAATTATTTATATGAAGCATTTTTTAAAAAAACAGTGCAGGAGATGTGACAGAAATATAACTACTGAGAGCTTAAGTTTGTGCCGAAGCATGCAAATTATCTAGCTGCTGATAGGATGGCAGAGGAAGCTAAGAGGCCAGCGGGATCTCGTCATTATCGCCACGCAACCAGTCCTTCACACGCTGAACCCAGCTATTCATTTAGTGAGTCAAGGTATCCACATGTCTACCTCTGCAAACCTCTCAAGCTATAACTGATGTTTTAGTCAATAGCATCCCTTGACTGATGACGACTATTCCAAGGCTCCAGCTGTGAACAAACGTTTACACTTAGAAAGACAGTGCATATCATGGCAGTCTTGAGTTTCCAATGACTTCTAGAACTCATAAATCTCTAGTAAGGGATCATTGAAACACATGCGTCTTCATCACAAAAAACAGTCATACATTTTGTATTTTTATTGTACGTCTTGTGAAAATATATATTACAGTGTCCTGGTTCAAAAATATGTCCCCAGACTGTTTTCACCTCAACTAGGCACTTTTGGTTTCCGTCCACAAGCTTCTAGTTGTACCTTTAACCGCTCGTCCTGCCAGAATTGATGCAGTTCAACTAAATTTGTTGGCTTTCTGCCACAGACTTGTTTCTTTATCAGTCCACGGGTTCTTGGTGGGGTTTAAGTCAGGACTTTGGGTCATTGTTTTGTTAGAACTCCCAACTGTGTCCAAGATTCAACTTTCTCGCTGATGATTTTAGGTCATTCTCCTTTTTCTTATTCTGTTTACTTCCACTGGCAGCAGAACAGCCCCAGAGCAAAATACTACCACCATTTGCTTCTTTCAAATCTATCCTTAGGCTTTCCCATTGTAGTGTCTGTGTATCAAACTGGATCAGAGGAGTCAGCAGCTGTAGTCAATCGTAATCACTCACGAGAAGTTTCGAGACCATACCACTAAGAATATTTGATTATCACAGCTTTCTACGTCACCAGAACTGATAATTCAAGTTGCTGTATGTATTTGTTGACCCAGCTGACTTGGTTATATTTCCAGAAGATGTGTAATAAATCTAAGAAAAAATAAATAAAATACTTGATTGTTTATTGTGATGTGTTTCAGTGTTTCCATCATAGCAAATTAAGAATTATAGGAGTCATTGGAAACTCAAGACTGCCATGATGAAGAGTTACATTCGCCTTTTAAAACAGCATTTTAAAAGAGAAATAATTTCTGCCCCGACGAGCTCAGTTGTAGGAACGATCTCTTTGCCTGCAGACGTAGCTGAAAGCTCCTATCATGTGAGTATTCAGTTACACTGGCCATGATGATGTTGGTGTAAAACGTACAATTGGGGCGTAGTTGCAGAAATAAGTACAGACGAAGAACAGCAATGGCAAAAAGTGAACGCAGAGACTTCCTTAACTGCACAACACAGACAGCAAGATCAGCAGTGCCTGTAATCCATTATTCATGTTAAATTAAATATCGGTTGTCAAGGTTGATGTCTTTGTTTTCTTCAAATAAATGGTGACGTGCTCGGAGTGTTACAAATCAGGGTACGTAGCGACAGTTTAGGTCGAACCAGGGAATGTCATTGTTTCAAAAATCCAGTCCAAATTCAACTCTGGGGTTTTGAAACTGAATCGGGGTGTTTGTAAAAGTGCTGTGGTCAGTCGGCATAAATATTGCAGAAGGATTTTAAAATGAAAACATATTAGTGTACATGTAGCTCAAGCCTCATCGTTCACATTGCTAAAGGAAAATTAAACGCTGCTCATAACACACAGGTGAAGTGAACATTGTCATTTTCAGATGCAAAGGACAAGCGTTGGGATGCGGGTGTGTAGCTAGTGTCCAGTGGGTTGGTGTGGTAGGTCAAGCCCAGTGAGAGGGTGAGTTGTCTCGCTGCATGATTAGGAAGAAATCCTGCTGGCCTCTCATTTACCGCTGCCTGCATATCTGTAGTCCTGTTTTGGACACACCTCCTATGTCGTGATTAAAATAGTTGCCGCCTCTGAGTCAGTGAAATAACAGAGAGCTGGTATAACGAGCAAAACACAACCCAGAGTTCTGTCAAAGCTGCTTGAACTCCAGACTTTCCACAGTAACATCCACGTTCATCACACTGCTGCTTCACCAGCAGGGTTCATTTTGGCACAAGATTTAGTTTAAGTCTTTTGAGGAAAATGTGTTTTATTTGCAGTAAAATCTCAGTTCTTTGTGCTTATCCTCGTGAAACTTTTCATCGGTGGTGTTTTAAAATCATTTTTGTCCTGCATGTTAAAATTTTAAATCTTTTGAAGGCCACACCCGTCGCCATCTTTGTTGTGTACAGTTGCCACTAGTGCAGATATCAACCGATCCGATGAGGTTGCTGGAAGATGCCGCGTTTACTGGTTCACTGTGAGAGTAAAGTACATGTTACATTAGCATCCCACACCAGCTTCTACATTATTTAGCTGTAACTTCCTGACTCAGTCTTAATGGATTGTAGATGCATTTCATTCATACATCTGTGTCTTTGGAGAACAGATGTCATACAGACAAAGACACAATCTTACTGAATTGTTCTTTTTAATAGCGACGCAACAAGTCGCTAAATTGCTTGAAGACATGAACTACTTTGGGTGGCAAAGAAAACTGTTTCACCAGTCAGGAGCGAATAAAAAAGACTAAAACATTTGTGCAGTAGTTCGTCTTCCACGTTATTTGAAGAAGACCGTGATACATTTAGTCGTAGTTCTTTGTGAACAGGTCACCGGTGAATGTTTTTCTTCAAGCATTTTAAACTCTCTTTACGTTGACATGTATTGAGAAGGCTTCAATCTGAATTCTTCGTTCTGCAGGTCGAGCTTCTGTCCCAGAAAGATGAACTGCAGACTTCACTCCAGAAAGTGGTCAAAGAGGTGAGAGGTCACCTGCTCCCGAAGAAAGCTGTGAAATCTTTCCTCAACTCGTTTCATTTAGAGAATAATTGAGACGATGTGAAAATGTTGTCTCTTTATATTGTTTTCCTACAGGCGCACAGCCATGTTTTTATACAGGAATTACTAAATAATACCTTTATAAGCTAAGGCTGGATGACACACCTGGGCAATGAGGGCCACGCACACTATATAATTTCATAACAATCATTTTTGTAATTAGAGAGGAAACTAAATTGAGAGGAGTGGAAGGAGACAGCAAGAGATATGCATATAATAAAGTTCTAAGTATATAAGCAGCTTCACAGCGTGTAGCTAGTCCCTGAATAGTCGGTGGGTAAAGCTGTAAAAGTGAAGTACAATGGCTCTGTTCATGAATGTGAGACGAGTCCTGTGTAACAGCCATGTCCAGGTGAACAGAGGACCAAGCTTTGGGTGAAATACTGGCCGGTCAGCACAATATTAGTACATAAGCCCAGTGCTTGTACCAAAAAGGTGTTGAAACTTGGTATTATGTCAGGACTGGTTGTCAAAACAGTATAAAAATACAATGTGTTACTTCACTTATCAAAGGGAGAATGACATAATCATTGGATTGATAGTGTGCTTTTGCTTTTACTTCTTTATTTTGGAACAAACATTCATGCCAGATGGTGTCTTTAACTGTTTTTTTTTCTCTCTCAGACATCACATGAGATGATCATCCAGTGCCTGTCCAGAATAGCCACCCATCCTTTTCATGGTATGTCCTCATCCATCCCTTTCAAACTACAAAACTGTCTTTTGAGTGTTCTAGGGGGTTCCTCATATCTTGTCATTATAACAACCATTTGCTGGGACTCCAATACGATACGTTTCCCTGTCTACTGTGCTCTCACTCCTGCTGGTTGAAACACATGAATCCCTTCTATGAGCCTGTTTCTGTCGGAGATTTCGTCCTGCGTTCCAAGTGCTGCACAAAAGACCCCAATAATTAACTTGTAGGTGTTAATAAGTGGTGCAGCCTGGACGTATTTTGCTGACGGTGCTAGGCTAAAGCTATCACTACAAGGCTTGCAGTGCCCTTTAGCCTGCAGCTAACAGTACCTGGAGCACTTTACCATCTTTCTACAGTCCGATTAACTTTAACAATCTGTCCTAATAGAAAGACACGTCGCTCTAGCAGAGACACAACCTGCAAAAAGTGAACAAGAAGCGCAGACAATTAAAAAAATAATTTCAGATGTGGGCTTTTGTGGGCAATGACTGATAGAATAGAAAAAAAGATGAACAGAACAGAGAAACAGCAGACAGAACATAATCAGGAGTAATAATCAGGAGAGCATCGTGGTGTCACATGATGCTGGAAGGCCATCACTCCTCTTACTGTAAATACTCAGTAGTGGACTGTAGAGCCAGAGGATACAATGGTTGTTTGTCTGATAACCTGTTGTTGTGTGTGTTTTTTTGGCAGTTATGTCAGTGCGCTGTATGGCCCAGTTTGTTGGCAGAGAGGTCAAGTATGGGTAAGGCTTTGCACGGAGCTGCAGACATGAAACTACATTTCCTTCAATGTTTTTTCAAATGTTAACCGTCTCCAACTTCACACAGCATGACTACATGAGCAAGAATCAATGTTAAAGATGTGGAAGAACATCCTTGGCTAATACTTAAAAGTTTACCTTTATAATTGGTATGGCTGCTTCACAATAAAAGCCACCGTATGTTTGACTGGTTAAACACTTTCAATGTGAAGCAGCGGCGTGTTTTGTTAGCATTGTCTGTGAAGATTCTCAGTCATCCAGGTCATGCTTATTCTCGTAGTTTAATCGTAGCAACTGGACTTGCTTGAGTTCCTTGAAGACGTTTCACCTCTCATCCAAGAGGCTTCATCAGTTCTGATTGACTACTTGGGAGTTCCAGATACTTACACCCTTAAGGAGCCATTAATACCTGAGTTTCGATTTCAATTCGAGGGTTTTGTTGCTCCACACCCTCGATATGCGAGTTGTATGTACTCTCCCTGCCACAAAGGGGGTCTTTTGTGGCTAGGTGTGAATGGGTTTCATCTTTGATGACCCAACATGAACGCCACCAGATTGACTCCACAGACCTCTGAAGGCGTCCTTCGGTATCAGGCACCAACACCTGAGCAGCACCTCCTTTAACTCCTGCTTGAAGTTGTTGTGAAGTGGAGATTTGTGTGTAGTAGGATGCATTTTCCTGCTGAAAGAGGCCACGGCCATTAAGGGTCTGCAGCAGTGTTGGTACGTGTCAAAGTAACATCCATATAAATGCAGGACTCAAGTTTCTCCGTTGCACCTTGGTCCAGTTCTGACACTCACATTCTAATCATGGATGCTTTCGGTGGTGGACATGAATCTGTGTGTTCTGACACCTTTCTATCGTAGCCAGGATTAAGGTTTTCAGCTGTTTTATGCTCCAGTAGCTCCTCCGAGGGATCGCACCACACGGGGAACCTTTACTCTCCACAAGCGTCACTGGTTCACTGGGTGATCCTGCATACTGGGAACATCCCACAGGACCAGTCTGGAGATTGTCTGACCTGCTCCTCAAGACACCGTCGCTACATGTTTACGTCTTTTTTTTAGCTCTCTGATATCAAAATCCAGTGTTTCTGCACTGATATCATGCTGTCGTTTTTATTATGAAGAGTTTAATATTGAGAACTCAGCTCGTCTGCTTCATCGTTGTGTGTGTGGTCTGATTGGATTTGAAGTATAGTTCTCATCCCCATTGCAACAACAAATCATAGAGGAGAGCACATGTACAAACACATCTCTCTTGATATAACTAAAGCTGCTCTGAGGTGTTTAAAGCACAACATTATCTGAGCCTTTTATACGAGAGCCAAACATGTTAATGGGGTTTGTCATATTTGCAGGGGGATATTCAGCTGTATTGTCAGGATCTTTAAGGAGGAAGGAGTCACTGGATTCTACGTGTAAGTCAGGCTTTTAATTTCGCTGTTAATTAGTACAATTAATTCTGCGTGTTAACTTTAATCTTGAACCCACAGCAGCCTGAGCAGTGTTTGTGTGTTTGCAGGGGTTTCATTCCTCACGTGCTGGGAGAGGTCCTCTTCCTGTGGTGCTGCAACCTCCTGGCTCACTTCATCAACACCTACGCTGTAGATGAAAGTGTAAGTCCATCTCATCCACGTTTTGTATGGAGAAAAGCATGGTGTATATATGAGCATGCAGTGCAGATAGAAACAGAAAATGCCTTAGATGATGTGCCAAAGGTCTGCTTTGACCTGGTCGCATTCAAAACCTACGTAAATAGTCCAGACCTCCTCCTGGAGGGTACGTCCTCTAAAAGAAAGATACTGGATCATCAATTATAACTGGGTCATCCTTAGTAGCATTCCAAAAGAAAGTGAGCTTATCAATAGAAATGAGATTGCTATAAAGTTTTTTTTTTAATAGTTTTATGTGTTGTCTGATTTCCTGAGAAAGCAGCTTGTTGCTGATTCAGCTTCTCAAGTAAAGTAAAGCTGTTAAAAGTAGTTAAGAGGCGTCATTTAATGAGATTGTGATATTGGATTTATCTCTCTTTCTAGCCTCATACTTATCTATAAGCCTGTATTTAATGAAGGCTTTGTTTTCTTACTTAACTGGTGGATCATTTAAAATTTTTCAGATTCACAATAAAAGGCTTTAACTAGCTGAACAATTCTTTTTGTTTCTTTTAGGCTTTTTATTCTAAACCTGCGCAGGAAGCATTGAGCTGAACTGACAGAACATTTAATAGTGTTTGGAAAAAAACTGCAGCGTAAAAGCAGCTGGAAGTTTTTAGCAAATGAAAATAGTGTTGCTGTTAAAAAGACACCAACGTAGACGGGTCTGTAGTAGGGAGCTGCCTTTGTTTGATTGTGCCGACCAACAGCTATAATTTCAATAAACGATCATTTATTATTCCAGTTGCTGTTTGTATTCGAGAGTCTAAACCAGAAAATAAGTAAATAAGATGCACAGTTGTTTTTCGTCTGTTTTTAAATTTGTCAAGATCTTATTCAAAGCCATTCAAAGTTCTTCAGTTCTAATTCATTTGAGTTTCTGGGTACGTGTAAACCAACAGGAGACGACTTTAACCTCCCTGCTTGTGTTTGTGTTGCAGTTCAGTCAGGCCTCAGCAGTGAGAAGCTATACTAAGTTTGTGATGGGCGTAAGTTCACCATTCAGACTTTCGCTTGAAACGTTTCTGCTGTGTGTTATTCAGAGTAATGCAGTGTGGCTTTCTCTAGATTGCGGTGAGCGTTCTCACGTATCCGTTCATGCTGGTGGCTGATCTTATGGCAATCAACGACTGTGGGTGAGTCATTCAGCAAACCACGATCAGCACCATCTTCACACAGATGGACATTTTAGTGTTGTGATTGTTTTTAGACGTAGAGTTGGTTCATTCAGGCTGACAGCAAGTTGACAACCAGCATTTAGAGCCGCTTACAAAACAAATCACAGGAATTCTACATGTACAGCAACAAACATGTTAAAATCGTATCTGAAATACGTGGAACACATGGGAAATGTGTACTGAGGGTACTTCAGAAAGTTCTCCACCTCACCTGGAAACAAGGGGCGTATCTCAGATTTGGGGTAGAACTGTACACTACAAAGCTGTCCACTGTCACTGTCCACAAAAACTCAAATGTTTGAAGCAGTCAAACAAAAAATGGAGAGGAAAGCTTCAGGCCGGCGTGCTGTTGTTTCAGGACAATGCACACATGTGGTAGAAGCAGCCAAACGTGGTTTTGGACTTTCATGGAGTGCGAGGGTACTTCAAAAAGTTCTCCACCTCACCTGGAAACAAGGGGCGTATCTCAGATTTTGGGGTATAACTGTAGACTACAGAGCCTTCTGTCACTGTCCACAAAAGCTCAAATGTTCAAAAAAGGAGAGGAAAGCTTCAGGCCAGCGTGCTGTAGATCCAGGACAATGCACTCATGTGGTAGAAGCAGCCAAATGTGGTTTTGCACTGTTGCCCCATGCACCTTACTCATCTGACCTCGAAGTCTTCCACACTGTTGAGTATCTAGATGCTCAAGACGTGACCTTCCCCAGCGAAGGGAAAGCTTGAACAATAGTGGATTGAAAGTACACTATATATATATATATGTCGGGAAACCCATGTGTGCTCCCATTGGAGGGGGGAAAAAATATTAACTTGACTTTGTTGTCATAGCTACAAACCAAATGCAGTCCTGAGGTCAGAGCACAAGGTCCCACAGCGCCCCTGGAGTAAACAGAGTTAAGCCTGGCTGGGCTGGAGCTTGAACCCTGAACTTCTGATCAGTAACCCAAAGCGCTGATCACTGAGCCAACACAACCCACGGCTCAGGAAGAGGGAGGGACGCCAGTCCATCACACACAACAAGCAATTGTAACTGTAATATCAAGGATTTCACATAAGTCCACATTGAATCCCATGTCTGTGAAGATTCTCAGTCATCCAGGTCAGGGTTATTCTTGTAATTTAATCGCAGGAACTGGACTTGCTTGAGTCTCTTGAAGACGTTTCACATCTCATCCAAGAGGCTTCATCATTTCTGACTGACTAGTTGGGATTCCAGATACTGATATCCTTAAGGAGGAGCAACAAACCCCCAGTTGAAACCGAAACTCAGGTGTTAATGACCCCTTAAGGATATCTGGATCTCCCAACTAGTCAGTCAGAACTGATGAAGCCTCTTGGATGAGAGGTGAAATGTCTTCAAGAGACTCAAGCAAGTCCAGTTGCTACAATTAAACTGCAAGAATTGAATCCCATGGATTTCACACAGGAATGGGTTCCACATGGTTGTGTGTATGGGTTTAAGATGGAGGAGTCAATGTAAGCCTCACTGCACTCTACCTGTCACCTGTAATTTTAATTGTGAGGCCACAGATTTTACATCGTCCCATGGGTTCCACATGGAAATATACATGGTTATGTGTATGGGATTTAGCATCTGTGAATGCAAGCGTTACCCCTCCTTTAGTTAAGTATGGTTTTGATTTGTTGCATCTGGAGAAATGGTCCACACAATACGGCGCTTGTTAAAAATGTTGTGATGAATCTTGCGGTATTTGTGACGGCACCACGTTTGACAACTTGGAGAAACATTTCAACATGTGCTCCACGCGTTGTAAGCTGTGGTGACATGTTATCCACACATGGAGAAGACCTGGGAAAGCCCTGAGTTTCTTCTGTAAGGGCCTTCATGCTGGAAAGTCAAATGGACAGGAAATGTTTGTGTTACATTTCCTTGTATTTCTAAAACCGTGGCCGTCCTGATGCTTCGGTCTCACTGACTGTGCTGTGTTTCCAGTCTGGCTGTAGGTCTGCCTCCTTCCTTTCCCGTCTTTAAGTCCTGGCTGCACTGCTGGAATCACCTGAGCCACAAGGTACGCTCACCGTGTCACTGTTGATTTAGCCTGAAGCAGTTCAGTGCTGTTGTATGGCTTTGAGTTCTGAAGGGAAGATGTTTGTGCTGTTTAAAGTCAGGAAGTCACTTGCTCCGGCCAGGCCACTGGAGATTTTCATGGAGTCTCTCAGTTTGATCAGGTTAAATGTTCACCGTACAGCATTTATAGCTGCTTGATGCCCTCCTCTCAGGGTCACCTCTTCAGAGGATCCAGCTTCTTTTTCCGCCGGGTGCCTGTGACCTCAGTACCTTCCATCGAGGACTAACATCTCAACCATCATCACCTGCTGCTGAGTTCTTCCTCCTCCTGCTCAGAATTGTTTTTCCAAAGATATCAGCCTTTTCCTTCCCCCCGTTCAGCCGGCTATCCTCTGCTGCGGGTCATCCAGATGTAGCAGCAGCAGCGCGGCTCACGGAGCGCCAAAGGAGCCTCGGTTCGGCGCCGTTTGCTGAGGATGGATCTGCTTCTTTTCAGACTTCAGGGATCAGTTCAGCTGTTTGAATCAGTTCAGAAACTATGGTGCAATGCAGAGATCCAACACACACTACATTACAACTCTGATCTCATCTCCACAGCGGCAGCTTAAGCTTAATAACACTTGAGTAAAAAACAGAAAAACCTGATGGCTACGACATACGTTCACCTCATTTGCCATTTCCTGTTTTTTCTTTGGAATCCTGTTTACCATTGTTGGCTGTAGTAAATACACGTGAATCGTTTTGGTCTTAACATGTCAGTTCTTAACATTATTTAACTACATTTTTATTTGTATTGTGCCAATTCACACCCGGCGTCATCTCAGGGCTCTTTGCATTCTCAGAATAAGACCTTGCAATATTATATTATATTATAGAGAGAAAACCAACATATCCGACGACTTCCTTTGAGACGTACATGTTGTCAGTGGGAAGAAAACAAACTTAAAACCATTTTCAACATTAATTTAAATGGTATCGAATGTGTTTTGAATTCTTCATTTGGGTTAATCAGCTTGTATTAGATATCAGACGGGTTAACATCATAACTAGATGAATCCTCACGATGCACGGCTTGAATCCTAACAGCCAGTCGTGTATTCCCAGTAAATACCTTCCCATTCAGTCAGTGTCCTTACGAATACGTCATGAAAATACTAACCAATAACACTTCAGTGTTGAATTTGCATGAAGCTTAGATTATACAGGACACATCTAAACGCTTTGCTGTTTCTTTGCAAATGTGTCTGTTTCTGTTCATGGAAACTGTTTGTGTGTCTGGTACATATTTGTCTAAATATATATATATATTTGTACCTGTAGGAAATGCATGGAAGATCCCATGGGTTACAATCCTGTGTACGATATGAACAACTGAGACAATATAACATGATCTTTAAGCATGTCGATGTACATAGTAGTTGTTGAACTTTAATTTTATACCCTTTAGCTTTTAAGAGACTGGTTTGAAGCCATACGCACATGTGTCGTCGGATGAAGTCTGTTACCTCTGAACCCAGTGACTCTGATGAATTAAGAGTGACGGCCATATTGTGTTCAGTGTCACTCGTCAATCTGTCTTTTTGTGTTGAATCATGTCAGTCCTCTATTTGTTGAAAATAAAATCTTTGCTACTCACCCGTGTTCTGTGCATGTTCAAAACTCTAACCACCACTCGCAGATATTTTCGGTTAATAAATGATTTCCTGATGGACCAGCTGTGAGGCCGTGAATAAGGAATTGTTTATGGGTAAGATGTTCTCTAGGTTAGAATGAGGATGGTTTGAGTGTGGATTATGCTGCTTCTTCGACTCTAGTTTAGATCTCGTTAGAAACTCTCACCGGAGCAGCAACTTCTAAAAGCTAAAGCTAAAAACGGGCAGATCAGATTCAACCCAAACCTGATAATTATTTCATTTAATTTTAAATTATGTTTAGATTTTGGCTAATTTCTAATAAAATACTCATAATGGAAGCTGCCTTTTTCACACTGGCTTTAATAATATCTTAAAGAGTGTCCGAAACACCAAATACTCAAATTTATCAATCAAGTCTGTTTTATTCGTTGACAATAGTAGAGCCCAATTTTATGAATCACAAATTTGCCTCAAGGGGTTTTACCATCTGACCTGTCCAGGGTATCCCCTGCCTTCACCCTAAATCAGCTGGGATAGACTCCAGCCCCGCCCGACCCCAGTGAGGATTAAGCGGTGTATAGATAATAGATGGATGGATGGATGGATGGATGGATGGTTTGACAGTCTGTACAGCAGCAGACATCTTGCATCCTTCTGGTTATTTATCTATCAGCTCCTCTGTTGAGGAATCAGTTCCCAGTTTGTGTTCAGGAGGCAGACACCCTCTGTACTTTTAAGGTTCGGCTTAAAACTTTCCTCTTTGATAAAGCTGATAGTTAGAGCTGCTCAGGATCACCTGAACTGTCCCTTCGTTATGTTGCTATAGCTTTAGACTGCTGGGGGATTCTCCTCTCCTCTCTCTTTCTTCCAGACAGTTATAACCACGGTTACATGTCACTAACCCTGGGCTTATTCTTTCTGCGGATGTCTTTGGATCTGCAGTTGCTGGCCTCACTGACCCCCAAAATATTTATTGTTCTGTTCTATTGCTGCTATACTGCTATCCCCACTCTCACCCAAATGGTCAAGGCAGACGGCCTCCTTCCCTGAGCCTGGTTCTGTCGAAGGTTTTTACTTTTATTTTGGTTCCTTCCCACTTTTGCTGACCGCTTGCTCAGAGGGAGTCCAAAGGCAACTTTGGATTGTTGGGTTCTCTGTTTAAATTCATAAAGTCTTCACTTTACTATGTTAAGCGCTGTGAGATGAGATATATTGTGAACTGCGCTGTATAAATGGTACAGCGCCCTCCATGATGATTGGTTAAGATGTGTTAAAAGCCTTAAAATAAATTCTGTTGTTTTTGCAGAAGCATCCTCTCACACTGAAAAGTATAGAAAAATATAACCTTCAATTCAACTCAAATGAATTGTTGGTCAAACGGGGGTTATACAAAGTATTAACATCGAGGGTGCTAATAACTGTGGTGCACATGATTTGATGGAAAAGAATTATTTTTAGGGCTGCAAGGTGGTGGAGTTGGTTAGCACTGTTGCCTTGCAGCAAGAAGGTCGCCGGTTCGCGTCCTGGTGGGGGCACTGGGATCTTTCTGTGTGGAGTCTCCATGTTCTCCCCGTGCAGCGTGGGTTCTCTCCAGGTTCTCCGGCTTCCTCCCACAGTCCAGAAACATGTTGAGGTTAATTGGTGATTCTAAATTGTCCGTAGGTGTGAATGTGAGTGTGCTTGGTTGTCTGTCTCTAAGTGTAGCCCTGTGATAGACTGGTTACCTGTCCAGGTGAACCTGCCTTCACCCTGAGTCAGCTGGGATAGACTCCAGCCCCCCATGACCCTAGTGAGGATTAAGCGGTGTATAGATAATGGATGGATGGAGAATTATGTTTAATGTGGGATTTTTTCCACACTGAATAAATGCACTTGAATTAAAGGTTGAATTTTTCCTCTTTTTTTCATTGTGGTTCTATATTATTTAGAAAAAAACAGAATTTACTAGAAGCTAAAGAACACATCTTAACCAGGGGTGCCAATAATTATGGAGGGCGCTGTAGATGTCTGCACACACACATTCATACAGAGCTGCCATGCAAGGTGCTGCCTGCCACTGGGAGACACTTCAGGTTCAGTGTCTTGCCCAAGGACACTTGGACTGTGGAGGATGGAACCACCAACCTTGTGATTAGAGGACAACAGCTCCTCCACCTGAGCCACAGCTGCCCACTAAATAAAATATATACATAAAATTGAATTGAATTGAATAAACATTCCTCAAACCTCCCCATCAGTACTCCAGGGACCTGTTCTACAAAAGCACCGTTCAGCCTCTGACCTGGGACGCGGCTACCAAGTGGCTTTATTTTGAAGATTGTCACCGGAAGTGCGCCCCGCTCATTTCTCCGGTTTGACTAAAAACAAAACACAAACGCGCACCGCCGTTGATGGTGTGTGTGCAGCTCGAAGAAGGCGAAACATTGCGAGGATATGAATCGGTGGCCGACTTTGCGTGACTCCGTGTAGCGGGCCGCCTCTCCCGGCTTCGGCTGCGAACACGTCGGCCTTCGGTGGAGGCGGCGGAGCGGCCGTTTCGGCGGAGGGAGCGTAAGTAAACGAAAGCGCTGTGTGGAGCCGTTGAACAAAGAGCAGCTTCTCTTCCCTCTACCATTGTTACCGAGCGGAGCGCCTGTTTTCTGACCGACTCGGACCGTAAAAGTGAGCTAACTACTCTTAAGTCTCGTTAAGGGCACGAAAACGTGTCCGTTAGCGCTTCGGTAGTTTCATTCGTGCGTAAAAACAAACCGCTAATCTGCGCAACGACTCGGTTAAACTGATTTTACGCAGAGCTGCCTCTAAGTTTACGCAACGTTCACATCGGCTCTAATGCTAATCTATTGAATGGGTTTGATTTAGCTTCCCCAACTTCTGCTTTAAATCACATCAGTGCGATTAAAACTCAAGCAGGGAAGTTTTAAAGGTTTTATTTTTTTGTTTGCGATGAAGTTAGAATTCTTCCAAAGCCAGCCAACTTGTCCTGACATCATTGTGTGTTGATGGCAGATTACTAATATTAAACGAGGGGGTTTTCCTCCACAGCAGCACAGCAAGCAAAGGTCCAGGTTGACTCCGTTCTCAGACTGGACACTAAAGTGAACCAAAACAAAGGAGAACACTTGGAAAACGCGGATTGTGCCACATTTGGAGCCTCCAAAAAAGAAAATGTCACAGAACTTAATTCTCCTGCATGCAACTAAATGCAAGAAGATTATAAAGTTCACCTAAAAAAAAGAAAAAAGAATAAATCAGAATGCTGCTTGAACCCTTCCACACGTGCACACGCTAATCTGACGGCAGCAGCTCTGAATGCGCGCAGGCTCCGTACAAACGGTGCAGGTGTCATGGAGTGATCCTCTGCCAAAACCTGATTGCATTTAACCCCCTCATGTCTCTGCATTATTTTACCTCCTTTGTGTTTCACTTGAACCATTTCTTGTAGCAGTAAGAATCGCCTTAAAGGACCAGTTCAGCTCATTTAAAGCCAACATCCACTTTGCCAAACGGCGGCTGCATCGACGACACTCTGGTTGAAGTGTTGTTAATGCATCAAAATGAGTCGTGTTTTAGAGATTTAACCTACAGGACAACGGCCTAAACATCCGAAACAATACAATAATATTGCCTAAAATTACTTTCTGGATTACTTAATTAGTTCTTTTTAAAATTTCCAGACTGTTCTTGTAAACATATACTTGTAACCAAAGTAATGTTTGTGGTTTAATCTGGTGGGACTTGGATGATTACAGCTATATAATATATAATGAATCACAGGATTATTTCTGCATGTGTTTTATCCTTGTTTCTATTTGAACACTCGACTGTAATTAAGATGATTTACAGATTGGTTTAGTGTATGTAAATGAAAGAAATAGTCTCCTTTGCATTCATCCTGTGGACCGTGACCTGTAAAATACAACCCTAATGCATCAAGCAGAGTGATTTTAATGAATTATTACCAAAAGTGCAGCTGCAGTCACTTTTTGGCACAAGTTAAGCCGTCTTATCGGAGTCAAATTGGTCCTTTAAAGCAATTTCAGCTGATTAAAAACAACTGGACCAGGTATAATAGAATGATAAGAATAATTGTGCCCACTGATCAGTTTTTGGCACCACGTCGGCAATCTCACGAGGTGGGACCAAGACATGCACAAGCAGCGGTGCTTTGAGTTGTGAGAGGGCTTTGTGTGGAGGATTCTTCCACATTTCTGTGTCAGTATTCGTCATAAACATCAGAGACGCTGCGACACCTTTTCCTCACATTTTGTGTGACAATTTCAAATCTATTAGAAAACAAATTAAATGTCAGTAATAATAAACCTTAGCTCAGCCTAACGAATAGCGATACTCAGCAAAATGAATGTAATCTTTAGTGTTTTCACCGACAGGATGTTAGGTGTTTCTTCCAGCTGTTTGGAACGAGTCTCTCTGAGTTTCATACCTGCAGCTGAGACAGCTGTAACGTCCACGAGTGTCTCCAAAGAGAGAGATGTCGGTGTTTACACAAGCAGCAACGCTTCATTAATCAACTACAAATTATAATACAGGTGGATCAGGATTTAGCAGCAGCTGTGAACGTTTTCTAACCTCACACGGTCACAGTTTATCAGCTGCAATTTAATATTTTGACACATTGCAGGAATCCTCAGGTTGAGTCCTGAAGTTTCACTGTTACCGAAATCAGAAATAAACTGAGCTGTGAGTTATTTGGACACTTTTGTTAGTTTAGATCCAGTCTGTTGTTGAGTTATTATGTACCAGACGTCACAAAATCACGTCCGTCACTGTGGGCAGCCGTGAGGAATGTTAACAGATCAGTGGTCTACATGTGAAAAGGGTTCGAAGACAGTGTTAACGGATTAAACAACCCGACAATGCTCCATGTCCTGCGTCTGAACAGGCCTACAAAGAGTCAAAAGAGCACGTGTCATATGTTGACAGCCTTGTATTCTTTGTGTGTTTACCAGCACCTACAGGCCCGCGTGCCAAGGCGCTTGTTGAGTTTTCCGTGCTGCTTGTGTTGACAGGTGACGGGTGGCCTGTGCTCCAGTCATGACCTCCGGGAATGGGAACACTAACAGCAGCCAGCCCAATGGAGAGAGCAAGCCAGCCCAGGCCCTAGTCAAGTCCCACATCCTCACCCATCTGATAGAAGGCTTTGTTATCCAGGAGGGAGCTGAACCTTTCCCAGTGAGTACTGGAGCGACGCCTGTAAAGTTACCAACACATGCACCATGTATGGCTGTTATGAAACAGGGAGGGTATTCAAGGACGTTGGAGTCAAGGACTGGCACCTCAGAAGCAACACTAACCGTAGTGACGGGTTGACCAGGAGGCATAAGACGTAAAATAAGTCTCTCTCAGCCTGTTGTCATTCTTGTTGTACTCAGAAAAGTAGTTACTGCTTCTCTCACTGAGCCATCAAACTCTGCCCCGACGCTCACCATCGGTAAGGTTTCCTACCAACGGTTTCCCTTATGGTTACCAATCCACAACCCCTTTCACATAGGTTCTGTTAATCAGGCGGCAGCTAAACGGGTCGGCTGCATGTCTGGATGCGCACCCTGGCCCTTGAAGTCACGAAGGCCGTCTTACGAGGTCGGTTCTCGTCGCATTTCCGTATAACTTTCAACATGGCACAAGTGTGACAAGCAGCATTTCTCTGAGATGTGTGAAGTAATTTAAAAGTTTTTTTTCCAACATTTTAGCATCAATATTCATCTGAAAACATCCCAGAGGCGTTTAATGTACACTTTGTTATGGAAGCAAATCAGTCTCATCAGTTTTTGAGATTTAAAGCTGCTGAATTTCTAACTTTTACATTTTTTTTTGCATTGAAATGATGCACCCATTTTTTTTTGTCTTTGAATTTAGTTCATCAGAACTTCAGTAACTTATTTTCGCTTTTGTTTTTCCAACACTCAAGAATGCAGAATCAGCATTCCCCGCTTGATCAACCACGGAAGATCAAGAAAAGAGACTCAAAAGTGTCTGTTAGGTCATGGATTTCTCTGAAAACCAATAAGCATAATGGTGCGATTATTAAAGCAAATTGGTAAAGTGTTCAGAAAGCCACAAATCACGAGTCCCCGATTTGAATCCTGGCCATTGTGTCACATCATCACCACGTTTCCTGTTTCGTCCTGTACTGAGAATAAACTTTAAATGATGCGGCAGACATCTTATTATGCTTTCTAAGTGGAAAATATTTGCACATGCATACGGTCGTAAGCAAAGTTTTGATACACTTGTAAAGGTGATGCATGTGTTGAGTTTCCAATGAATCCTTCAGCTCTTCATTTTTTATAATGGAATGATTGACACACGTGTCTCTGTCTCAAAACAACTATGATGCATTTATTATAGGTCTTCTGGAAATATGAGAAAGTCTGCGAGGTCAAAAATCTACATACAGCAGCTTGATTTAGACACTTAGTGAATCTCATCTCAGTGGCCTCTTCTGAGTGATTTCACTTGAGTTCACCTGCTGACTTCTCTGAGCAAATTTAAATAGAACCCATTTGATCCACGAGATCACAAGACTCAGCCACAAAAGCTACAATGGGAAAGTCCCAGCACAGATTTGAGAAAGCAAATCATTGACTTGAACAAGTCAGAAAAATCACTTGGAGCCATTTCAAATAGATGCAGAAGCCAAAATCAACAACAACAACAGTTTCTAAGTATAAAGGGCATGTCACAGTCATGTCACCGCCACGATCAGGAAGAAAACACCAACTGTCACCTACTGCTGAGAGACAGTTGGGCAGGATGAAGCACCAAAAAAACAAAACAAAAAAACGGGTTTGCCTCGTGTAGTCCTCACCATAGGCTCCATGTGATTCCTCCACCAGAGCCCAGAGTTGATGCAAACCTCTAAAAAACATTTCTAAACCATCCATACGTCCTTTTCTAATTCATTCATTCATTCGTTCATTTCTCTGTCTGCAGGTGGAGCGTCCATCTTTCTCAATAGAGAGCTTAAGGAGGAACACAGCAGATTCAAAGATGGACAGCCTCTCGCCAAAGGGTAAAGCTTTTCAGGTTTACAGTTCTGAAGGCCAGCAGTGCAGCTTCATTGCTTCTTTCTCAGTGTGTGGTGCACATTGAGTTTAAAACTCTAAATAAAAACTCCAAACAAGAATCAATGTATGTGTTCGTCAAAGCAAGATGCTGTTTGTTCGATGTATTCCGATTGAACGGCCTAATTTTTCTTCAAGTTTTCTTCTAAATTAGAACACCCTGGTACTTCCCTACCTGATTGTAGTGGGGTTTTTTTATCCAGTCACCTTTTTCACTTCTCAAAAATTTGCAAGTGAGTGTTGTTCATGCTGTGTATTTATTCCCTCAGAGATCAAGTCCCAGCAGGAGCCCATGCTGACCTGTGAGCTGTGTGGCAGGGTTGATTTCGCCTACATCTTCAAGAGGTCCAAGAGGTTCTGTTCTACAGTGTGCGCTAAACGGTAACACAAGTTTTACTTCATTTTCACAATTTGCTGTGTCACGTAGCTTTAGGATCTTTCTGTGTGGAGTCTCCATGTTCTCCCCGTGCAGCGTGGGTTCTCTCCGGGTTCTCCGGCTTCCTCCCACACAGTCCAGAAGCATGTTGAGGTTAATTGGTGATTCTAAATTGTCCGTAGGTGTGAATGTGAGTGTGCTTGGTTGTCTGTCTCTAAGTGTAGCCCTGTGATAGACTGGTTACCTGTCCAGGTGAACCTGCCTTCACCCTGAGTCGGCTGGGATAGACTCCAGCCCCCCCGCGACCCTAATGAGGATTAAGCGGTGTATAGATGATGGATGGATGGATGGAGCTTTAGGGATGTTCAGATCAAGATATCTGGCCCTAATCTGAGTCTGACATTTACCTACATGTTTGTTATGTATTTGTCACATTAGGTAACAGCTGTGGACGAGTAGATTTGGCAAACTTTGTGGTTTAAAGCAACATTATTCAAAAAAAACAAAAAAAACAACGCAAAACTACAAACTGGTGGCTGTTTGGTTGGGTTGAGATCTGGTGACTGTGAAGGTCAGATCACACTGATGGCATCGTTTTACTCATCAAACCACTCAGTGACCCTTCTTCATTGTCGTTCTAGTGTTTTATTCTAGCATAAAGGTGACCATTGACAACTATATTATAACTCTGTATTGATTTGCAGAGACTGTTCCCTCTAAAGCGTGAACCCAAACCATGTTGTTGAAATTCCCCCACAGCCACCAACTGGAGGAGTCGAGCATTCAGACCTGCACGGTTCTCTTCATGTACGCCACATATCCTGCATTGAAATCCTTGAATCTTATCATTTTGCGTGATCTGCTGACTCAGAGACATGACATGGCGTGCAAATAGGAATGGACTCATAGGACGTCCCTGACAAGCTGCAGTGGTTCTGAAAAACAGCCATTCATTTTTATTCTTTGCTGATGGTTCGCTATAGATGGTTTTGGATCGTCTGTACGAGAGTTTTGTGAAACTGACGCAGACTTCTGTACAGAAATGACCACGACACTTGACACCAGACATCGTGTTGGGTTTGGCAGTGTTTCGTGGATCATGTCTGGTCTAATTAATCATTTGAAGGAGAATTTACTCCTGTAAATCTTGTAATTCCTGAGTAAAATCCTTCAAGGTCTGTAATTCCAACAGTCCAGCCCATCGTTTCCTGTTTTTACTGTTACAACTTCCTCCACTGATCGTGGTTCAGTGATGAAAAGCAACAAAAGGGGAAAACTTCCGGATGAATTCCTTTCTGAATGATAACTTCAGTCCTCTCCAGCGTTTCTCTGACCATGAGGTGTCTTCCCTCTAGGTGTCAGCGTCAGACTGCACTTCAAAATCAAACATCTTCACTATCAACCCCCTTCTAGGACCAGATTTATACTTTAGGAAGACTTGCTTAAGCCCATTCTTTAAAGTTCAGCGCGTGTCTTTTGTAGAAAAACAATGACCACTTTGTTTCATTTGACTGTACTCAGGATCCTACTTGAGTAAACCGTTCATATTGTGTGATCCAGCATTATAATTCAACTTTTTTAACTAGTGACTATTCTTTCTTGATCTTCTTTTTTCTCTGCATTCCATGTTTTCTTGGCGAAAGTCTGTCAGTTTTGGAAGAGACACATTGAAGTTGTTGCCTGCTTCCATTTGCCTGTTGGTGGCTGGCTGGGAGGTGCTAAACTCATCCATGTTTTTGTCCGTGTTCTTTACAAAAGGGCGACTTCCTCTTCTGGCTTCTTGGCATATTACTGCGTGGCCCCATTACACCTTTTATTAAGCTGAAAACAAAGAGTACTCGTGTTACAGGGCCTTTCAGAGGTGAAGAAAGTTGGGTTTGAAGCAGGGAAACCTTAAAGAGCCCAGAGCTGAAACGTCTTGTTTCAGACGGATCGCCGTTGACCCCGTGCACTTACTTCGGTCTTAAGACTGCATACGTTACCACTGAAGTCTGGTCTTTGAGCCGTAGCCATTGAGCATCAAGGTCAGTTTGGCGCAGAACCGGATGTTTGCTCAAGGTGAAAGTTTGAAACTGCAAGATGTGGAAACGGGGCTTCCACAGAGCGTTTTAAACGTGGCAGGACTGCTGGTAGAGATGTGTCGCTTCACAAAAGCACTACTTACAACGGGATGATGGACAAGTCTGGTGTGGCTTTTGCATTTTGAAGGCACAGACTCTGAACTTGCGGCTTACACCTCAAACCTCTACAAGCTGCTGAATCTGACAGTGACGATCAGGGACAGCTACACATGGGGACACTGCCACCAGATTGTTTTGTTCACTGATTCAGAAACTAATGAATGTAATCAAAGCTTTTATTCCAATACAAGATGTTAACAGGAGCTGAAGTTTGTTTTATTTTATTCCTGCAGCATCAGACAGCAGGAGGATCCACATGTAGATGATAGACCGATATGTGACTTAATGATCAGCTCACCGTGTTTAACTCTCCTTGTAGATACAATGTGGGATGCACAAAGAGAATGGGTCTTTTCCCGAACCGCAAAACCACCCTGGAGAACATGAAGAAGCAAAGAGCGCTGAACGGAAACCACAAAAACACCACTTTAGAGTCTAAAAAGAAGGTGAGACGCCTTTTGACTTTCTAACGTATGTTATTTTGTGAGCTGAAAACCTGCACCGTTTACATCAATGCAGCTGTTTTCAGAAATATTGTTGCAGAAATTGTGACATGTTGGAAATGTTTTAACACCGTTGTCTTCATAAAGCCTTCAGTAGGACGTAACTGACTCACTGAAGGGAACTCCAGGTGAAGTTTTTACCTGAGGGTGTTGGAGGCAAAGTGGGCCGAACCATATTTACTAGTTTTAGACAAAAATGGGGTCAAAATTTTGTGTTGCTAAAAACAATCCTGGTTGTTGGAGGAGTCATTATATGCATCCAAAGATGTTTCAACCCTGTCCAGAGATAGAACCAGCTGCTTTGTGATGACTTATTTAAGTTTAATTTCCTTTTGCTGAGCGCCAAAGCGGGCTGTACCACATTTTACATACTCACAGAAGAGTTTACATCATAAGGAACTAGAGATACTTTTGAGGACCATGGGGTAGAAAAAGACGCTTGGTGGTTAATGAAGTTTTTATTTTACCTACCAGTTGAGTTTTCACAGGGCTTGAGGTCGTGCTGTCCGCCATCTTGAATTGCTAACAGCTACCTGCGATATAAAGGTCAGCAATTCCTGTGGCTTGGTCCAGTTTGCCACTAAATGTTCATGCCAAAACCATCATGGACCAAACATCAAAGTGGCATTGTGACATTGCTGGTGGGCTGTTGGTTGGACCACTTTGCCACCAACTCGTAGACCATAAACACTTTTTTTTTTTTTGGTTTGGCCCGCTTTCGCACTGAACCCCTCAAGTGGGCTCGCAGCTGAACATCAGTGAAAATCTGCGAGGAGATCTTAGACATGCTGTGTGTGCAAGGCAGCCTGAGAGTGTCGGAAATTCATGAAGAACCGAAAGACACTACGCTAGGTTTTAAAAGAAAAGAAAGAAAAAGTATAGTCTTCTCTTGAAGCTTTTGCACATGCTGCAATTCATGTTTTAGTTCCAGTGATGGTTACCATCTGAAGAAATGCTCATACTGAGTGTGCGTTTGTTGCCCTGTGCATCCAAACTGACGTCTTCATGAGCATCACGTCAGGCTGCTATCACTGTAGTAAAGATTTCTCCCTCTGTGCAGAAGCCGGCTGCAGCTGCTCTGTCCACTGGTCACTCAGTCCACCCTGCGCAGGGAGAGTCCAGCCAATGCTCGGACTTGTCCGGCTACAAAAGACCCCCGGCTCCCCTGTCGGCTGCCCAGCGGGTGCCGGCGACGCAAGGCTCCGAGCATCCCCTGCTGCCCCCCAGCTTCCTGCCCGGTGACCCTGTCCAGTGGAACATAGAAGATGTCTACGAGTTCATCTCCTCTCTGCCAGGTGGGCGCTGTCACATTTGAATTCACATGTGGATGTCTTTGTGTTTTTAGCACCTGTGCTTATAAGCTATTGTACGCCACGCTGGTTTGCAAAAACATTTTCATCTTCCCATTCTAAACTTGTTTACAGTTTTTTATGTAGCATGCAAACCTCATGAATATGATCTGTACATGTGGATGTGATATTTGGTCGTTAGCAATGTCAATTTATTTTAGTAGTAGCTCTGTGACAGACAAAGACGTTGGTCTGATATCAAGTTATATGATAACTAAAGCAAAGCGGTGTGGAAGTGTTATGTTTTGCTATCATGTTTTTTGCATGCATACCAGTTAGATAAATTGCATACCTTGGTTGAAGCACTGTATTTAATCATGCTGTGGCCTCCCTGCAAAGTGCAAGAACCCTTACGCTTACTCCAGCACCCCTACAGTAAGAAGAAAAATTCAATTGCAATGTCAAAAAATGTCAC